TTTGGTTTCCATCAGAGAGAGTGCATCCCCGATCATTACCTTTGTCCGACAAATGGGCTGATCCTTTCACTATGATCACCCACTCAGATGAATTCTTAGACTATCCCAACATACCCAGGTTTTGACCCCCGCTAAGGATCTCACTTATTGGTACATCAAAAACAGCCCAATCCGACACATAGTGCAGTATCATAATCGAGTATAGGGGTCAGGTGTAACTTTCCAGTTTTGCCTATTAATCTCCAAGGTTCAGGGCAATACTGGAAATCTCGTCCGGTTCAAATATTTAATTAATCCTACACTGTATGTGCCTTAGGTCTCACCYTGGCGGCTGAGACAGGCCACCCCAACCGACTTGGTGGCACATCAATGTCAACCTTATCAGGATAGGTCTCCCCAGACCGACCCATCGGCTGTGAACATTCTAAACTAACACGAGTCTCATTAATTGTCTAGTTTAAGGGTATAACACAGAAACACACAACAGGAACATGAATCAAATATGTACTTTATTCATTTACAATAAATTCATAATGTACATCATTCTGATTGGACCTAAGGGCATACAACTATCTAACAGTAGGAAGTTGTCCTTTGGGCAGGCTCTGTTGAGGTTGGTGTAGTCGACGCACATGCGCCCTTTCCATTGGCTTTCTTCACGAGCATAGGGTTGGCCACCCAGCTCAGGTACTAGACCTCTCTAACAAAATCTACTGCAAAGAGCTTCCCGACCTCCTCATCTACTACCCTTCACCTCTCTACGGCAAGGTTTCTCTTTTTCTTTGCCTGATTGGTCTAACTAAGGGGTCCATTTTAATTACTGATAGGCCTATGTCAGGCAGCTTCTATTGCCAACCATGCAAAAACATCTAAATTTTTAAGTAAAAAACTTAATAGTGTAGACTAAAGTGGTTCCTTTAGGCGGGCTTCGATCTAGATAGTCTTTACGGGCTCGATATCGGAGACCGGGACCAAGATTGTATCCTCTACCGGTTAAGCTCGCTCATTTGTGTGCTCGAGGGTGGTTCCAGCTCAACGTCAACTGCCAGCTTTGCTTTGTCCTTCAATGCTACGACGTAGCACTTCCAGGATTCCAACCGGTTGCCTTGTATTACCCTTACCTCATGCCTCGTCGAAACTTCATTGACAGGTGATAGGTTGACACCACTACACGAAGTGCATGTAGGATGGGTCAACCTAAAATTGCATTATAGGGGGACGGGGTGGCAATCACCAGGAAGGTGTGCTCAAATTGGAATGTGTTGGGCTCCACCCCTGCTACGACTGACACTTTGATCCTACCTAAGGGTTTCACTACGTCTTCGTTGAAGCCAACGAGAGGTACGTTTGCTAGCTGCAGGTAGACCTGTTCATGGATCGGGTAGCCCAACGGTCTGGCCTGGCCCGCACCCCGGTCGGGCTTGAACATGTTGTTAGACCCGTGGGCCTGACTAGCGAAAACACCAAGCCCGACTGTGTTTTGGGCCGGGCTCAAGATTTATCAAAAAAGCCTGGCCCGACTAATTTATATAATATAAAATATATAATATTTATTATAATATACACATATATTAATAATTTAATATATAATCTTTATTTTTTCTTTATAATTTCTCTCTCTCTCTCTCTGTTCAACCGCTTCCGCAATAGCAGCGGCATGAACTTTAGACTCCGGGCTTCGGGTTTTTTATGAGGGCCAGGCTTGGGCCCAAGTTGTAAGCCCAATGGTCGGGCCTATCTTGGGCTTGGGTCTTAAAAAAATTGTTAATTAGGAGTGAAAGCCCGACCCTTCCCGACCCATGAACAGGTCTAGCTATAGGTTCTTCCTGTCCAGCTCCATCTTTTCGAAGGCTTCCAAGAATAAGATGTCCGCCGAACTCCTTGAGTCGACCAAAATTCGCTTTACCTTGAAGTCGTTTATAATCATTTTGACAACGAGGGCGTCATCGTTCGGATACTGGATCCCGCGAGTGTTGTCCTCGGTGAAGTGGATGACTTCCTCCACCCGAGGGCACTTCGGCGGGTTCTCGTCTTCGTGCTCGAGCTCCTAGACTACACTCTTCCCCGCCGCCATGCTACACCCTGCTACCATTGATCCTCCTATGATCATATTGATCATGCCGCGGATCGGACTCTTCGGTACTGGTGGATCCCGAGGTAGCTGGTCCTGATCTTGTAACATGCTTGATTTTAGTGTGTCTTTGGGCTGGTCAGCAAGTCGGGCATCTCTCTCGTTGTGTTTAATAAATTGCCTAAGGTAGCCGTGATGGATCAACTCCTCGATCTCATCCTTCAAGTACCAACAACTTTTTGTATTGTGGCCAATGTCACGATGGAAGTGATAGTACTTGTTCGGGTTGCGGTTGGCGGAGTCGCCTCTCATCTTGGGCGCCCATTTCATGTACTCAGGTACCTTTATCTACATCAGAATCTCGCTCTTTTTTGCATTCAGGGCGGTGTAACTGCGGGTCTGGACTAGTGGGGTCCTGATTTGGAACCCTGGTGAGGTGATACACTCTTCCTTGGCGATCTGCTTCGCCTGCTGCGGGGTGACCAGCTTCTCTTTGGTGACTTGCTTCTTCGCTGTTGCTTGCTACTCCCCGCTTCTTCCTCTAGTCACTTTCTTTTCCTGGATAGTTGTACTTCTAACTGGGATCCGAGTGCCTCCTCCGCCTTTGTGAACTTATCTGCCTTATTGAGGAATGCCTCCATGGAGGTTGGAGGGTTTAACTCGAGCTACCAGCGTAAGTCGGGGTGGCAGACACCCTTCACCGCCGCAGTGAGCTATACTATCGGGTCAAGATTTAGGATCTGGAGCCGCTTCATCGTGTAGCTGGATGACATTCAAGAGGTTGGTCACGGACTTAGGGCACCTCTTGCTTGTGGTGAGGTGCGTGGTGAATAAATCCCGCGAACTGGTTCCAATTTTTTATCGATCCGGCGGGCAATCCCCAATACTACAATCAAGTTGTACCTCAGAATGTTGTTGAGAATGCCATATAGAGGCATGCATCGTTTGCCCCTTGAAGTTGCATCAAGGCTTGAAATAAGTCACTATGATCTATCGGGTTGGTTGTCCCGTCGTACGATTCCGGGTATGGGGCTTTAAAATTTTTAGGACGTGGGTCGTAAGAATCTCCGGAGCTAGAGGTGAGGGTCTGGTCACATGCGATGTTGCTGGCTGCGTGGTGACTGAGCTAACCCCACACTTTTCCTCCTTCTTAGCTCCCTTGTTGCTGGTAGGTGTGAGGTGGCTCTTTCCAGTGCTGTGGCTCTGGTGTTATCTTTTATCGGGACCTGGTTCCGGTTGTCAAGACAACGAGATGAGTCTGGAACCTGGTTYTGGTTTCTAATGTCGGGTTACTAATTGTCAGGCTGCTGGTTGTTCTATTGTTGTTGGTTCACGGTTGGCCAAGGTGGCTGTGGCTGTTGCGGCTGCTATGGTTGTTGCGGGAACTGTGGTGGAATGAAAGCATCAAACCTCTCCTCCCAAGCCCGGATCTGGAGGGTCATGCCACGAACATACTACACCAGGTCACTGAAACTGCCACACGTCAATCCCTGTAGGAAGCGCTTTTGGTTGGTTCGACGTTGTTGGCACTCCAAGTAGTGTCAAAGATACTATCATTTACCCGATGGTCACTAAGGGCACTTCTAGTTGGACAATAGGCTGTTCTTGCCCCAGTGACTTGCATATTGTTGTTGTTGGCATTGGTGGGTGGGTTGTTGCTTGAAGAAGCCATTTGATCATTAAGTAGAGAGAGAGTGAGAGAGTGAGAGAGTGAGGGTGAGAACTAGGCTTTTTGTCGCTTGTTCCCACAGACGATGCCAATTGATGATGCGCGATCTGGTTGCTCCTAACCAGAAGGCAGCTCGGACGTCGGACTAACACGTGGCCGGTCGAATAGCAAGAAACATAGTATCAGAGGTCCCGGGGTGCTTTACCCGGTGTGGGCACTCTAATGCTTAAGTTACCGAAAAGTGTTGTAGTTAGCTGACTTGCTTGTGAATAAGAGAGCGAGAGAGCTAAATTGCACATACCTTTTGAGGGTGGAGGTGATGCCCTTATATAGGCGAGCTGTTGCAGGCCTCACAAAACATATCCAAGATCTTCGGCCCGTGTAACTAGGAGTTCGTGTGAACTGATAAGGCTTATCGAGTCCGTCCGATTCGGGCGGGATAAAGATAAGGCTCGTTGACGTGCAATGTGATCCTAGAAAGATCGGAGATGGCTGGCTAGCTTCTAGAAGAGGGCTACATGGCTCCTTGGCAGGTCGGGACACCACAAGCTGCTCGGACCTCAATCTTAGCCGAGGTGCTCGAGCTAACCTGGCCTACTGAGGTGTTCGGAAATGCTGAGTTATCATCTGATTATCAGATCGCTCCACGTGTCTGTGTACCAATGGGTCGTGCCAAATTACCCCTCATCAATCACTTTATCAGAAATTATCCAAGAAAATTCCAAAAAGTAGATTGACATTATTTCCAAAAAATATGATAATTTTCCAAAAAATCAATATAAAAAACCATTAATTATCAATTTGTTTTTACTAGTTCTTATACTTAATCTACAAATTATAGAATTTATTAGTGAAACTAAAAGTACTTTGTGAAAACAATTACTAATTATCAATAATCTTCAAAAAATAATAGTAATTGCTTGTCTACTATTTCTACTATTTCACTTTTACTTAACAAAGCTGTTGCTTGTCTAGCTATCCGGTCTAATTCGCATTTTGAAAACCATGGTAGAGTACGAGAATGAGAGACAAAGAAGTGTCAGCATCCCGTGGATCGCACGAGCTTCCGCTAGTATATATATTGATTATATTTTGTTATATTTTTATTTATTTTCTTATAAAATATTCAGTTGCACGTGCCACTACTGTTATAAAGCCTCAATTAATAATTTACTATATTGGTTACACGTGCTTTGCACGTGCGATTCAGCTAGGATATATAATAGACATTCTATCGCGCAAGCTATAAATAACAACTGATACTTGATGACACTTCTTTCTTGTGCTTAGGGTTTTTATATCTCCATAGGTATTTTGCATCCGTATCTAGGGTTTCCCTCGTTTTTGCATCTCTCTGCGTACTCTACAATGGCCATCTATTTCTCAGATCTCCACACAGAAGTTGGTCTTAAATCTCTCGAACAATACCTGTCTGGGAAAACCTATATTTCTGGGTATCTTTCTGTTGCTTCTAAAAGCTCTTTATCTGCTGTGTTTTGTTAATTCACAATTATCTGCTGTGTTTTGTGTACTAAGCATTACTTCTTCATATCTGCTATTCTCATCGTTGTTGACCGTTTGGAGTTGCAGAGATCAACTCACCAGGGATGATATCAAGGTTTATGCCGCCGTTTCAGAAAAACCGGGCAATGGATTTCCTAATGCGAGTCGGTGGTACGAGTGTGTTTCTTCACAATTAGCTGCAAGGTTTGTGATCCTGATTGTTTCCTTCTCAACTACGTTTTTCTTTTCTCTAAGTAGTATTTTACTTTTTCTTGATTGTCTTTGTAATTTTGCAAATTTAGTGGGATTTTTGTGATCTGGACGTATAATATTTGACCTTGCAGTCTGTATGACCTGTTTGTTTGCCTATTATTAATTGGGATGTTCTTTCTCATTGGTTCTTGCCAGGATACAAGTGTGTCCTGACTGTCCTCAAATCTGACCTTAAAAATGTTAGGCCACCTCTCTGAACAGCAGCAGACAAACATTAACCTATTTCTAATTTACTAGCTGATTGGTTGATGTTATTAGGCAAGAATGTATAAAGATCTTAAATGTCGTATAATTTTCCCAATGAAACACAAATGTGCTGTCAGTTCTTTGGTGATGTTTAGAATATGAAGAAATTCTCACTTTGATTTGTAGATGTACTGATTGAAAAAAGATTCTAGCAATCTACATTTCTACATTAGCCTGTGTAAGTCAAAAATATGTAAAAGTGACAACAAATAATGCATCTTAACAACTTACTAGGCATAGAAGCTCTGCCAGAACTGGAGTATGGCTATTTATAGGTGCTATTAACAAAGTAAGAATTGTACTAGACTATCAAGTGTCAACTGATTGCATCTCTATTTAACTAGATTAGTGCACTAGATTATTAACATTAGCACATATAAATAAAAAACAAATAAGGAAATTATCTTGGCAGCTAATAATGTATCTTAACAAGTTATTGGGCATAGAGGCTCTGCAGGCACTAAGTATGGCTATTTATAGGTGGCTAGGTGCTATTAACAAATTCAAAATTTCACTAGAGTGTTAATTAATTGCATCTGTGTTGTTGTAGTATTTGTATTGTTGTATTCTCTGTTTCTCATGGTCAAGGTGGATCATGCATACAAGGGGTTCAGGGCACTCCATTACATCTAATAACATATTCTTCATTGAAACTGTATTTTCGTAGCTGATAAAAAACTGTATTTTCATCTTTTACTTTATAATTATTTTTTGATAGGTTTCCCGGAAAACCTGCTGGAGTCAAGATAGCTGGTCAAGCTGCCAAATCTGAGCCTACACCAGTGGAGGCAAAAAAGGTGCACATTCTCATTCCTGCCACTTGTTTACATAGAAGACAAATATATATGGGGTATAAGTTATAACATAAATGAAGAATGGACACTGGGATCTTTAAGCATCAATTAATTTTGGGCATTAGTGATCTTGATATTGGTACATCCAATTGTAGATCCTAATTCATTACTTCCCTGTGTTGCATATACACAAGATGGGTAACTACATTCACTCCACCTTGGATTAATTGTGTTAATATAATATTAGAAGTCAGTCACTTGAGACCTTGATCTGAAACATCAATGGTGGTTCTCAATTCTCAAGTACCCTACTTGTTACATTTGCAGTCCACATCTGCTCCTCAAGTTTGGTTTGATTGTTTAAATGTCTTATGGAGGCAGACACTGATATGGCACATCTATTGGTGGTTGGATGCTTGAATACACAAGATGGGTAACTACATTCACTCCACCTTGGATTAATTGTGTTAATATAATATTAGAAGTCAGTCACTTGRGACCTTGATCTGAAACATCAATGGTGGTTCTCAATTCYCAAGTACCCTACTTGTYACATTTGCAGTCCACATCTGCTCCTCAAGTTTGGTTTGATTGTTTAAATGTCTTATGGAGGCAGACACTGATATGGCACATCTATTGGTGGTTGGATGCTTGGATACATTCCCCAACCTTGGTTTGACTGTAGATATATTATGGAATTCAGACCTTTGATACCTGGATACCTGTACATGCCTACCGTAACTGGATACTGCATGAACACTTCTGGATGTATCCTATAGCATTAACACTTTCTAAATAGATTTAGTGGTTTGTTTTAATAAATTCTACTACAAGAATATTTGCAAATGTTAGAAATTTAATTAGTTTTGACAAGACTTACCGTATGTGTCTATGTCTGTGTCCATATGCACATTTGGGCATGCTTGGTTTTTGTCTTCTGCTTATTCTAGGAGATTAGTAAGTGGAAGAGCTTGTGATATTTTACTAGAGTTGGGGTATGGTGTTGTGATTTTTTTAGTGTAAGACTTAAACTTCCCCTGATTCTTTTACTGAATACTAAGACCACCCCTCTTTTTTCAAAATGGACTGAGACCTCCCCTGTTGGATGATGTCATCAGGCAAAGGCCTCCCCTCCTGTAAGAACCCATCAAGATCGTTTGTATTTTATATAACTTGTGCCCAAAATGTTTTTAAAATTCCAAATTTGTCCATTTGGCCATGATTCAAAAAGCACAGAAAATCGTAAAAGTGTTCCTCTGTGTTTAGGAACCATTTTCTTGCCACTGGAGATGGTATGCATTTTATTTCATCAAAAGTTCTGGTGAATCATCTGTTTGTATCTCCCAAGCGCTGTCTTTTTCTCTGTATTAATATCAGAATTGGAGGGAAAAAGAAGATAACTTCAGAGAACAGGTATGATTGCATTTGCATTGAAAAAACCAAGTGTGGAGCACCAACACCACATCAACAGAAGAACCCCAACCTCCCATACTACTGAACAAAATGTGACCTCAACGCACCAAACAATACCCCTCCACCGTTCCATAAAATGTTATTCCAGAAATGACCGAAAGGTAACAATGAAGACGACCAGTGTTCTGGAACAAACTAACACCAAATTGTTCCATGAATTTCCACCCTTCACAATTCCTGGGCCCTTATTATGGTAATAAATTATTTCTCAATTAGCAAAACCATGTTATTCAATTTGCACCTACACTAAGAAAAGGAATATAAAATCATTATTGAAGCCTTCCAGTTTCAATTTAAAGGGGGAGAATAAAGTACCATTTTTTTTTGATAATTGGGAGAATAAAGTACCATTTGCAAATAAAGATGAGACAAGCAGACTGAAGCCTTCCGTTGTAGTCTCAGAACTTGTTAATCTTGTTTGACTTGATCATAGGGTTAGCCTTAGGAATTGTATCTCAATCCATAACCTTGAAATAAAGTATACGTGTGCATGTTAATCCATATCCTGTTCTAGTCTCAGAACCTGTTCTCTATGCAGAATTCTGCACCTGCACTTGAACTCTGACACCTCAAGATATTTGTTAAAGCACTCAAACTTGTTATTTACCTTCACCAATCTCTCCACTCAATTGCCGTCAAATTCAAACCCATCAGTGATGATAACAAAGTGGAGGAGCCCAAAACAAAACAGTTAGTAGAAAATGAAGGATCTGATTGTTGTTGCTGTGTTGATGCTGTGATGTGGGGTTAGAAGATTTCTTATTTATCACTTTGCGGTTACAAGTACCTCATTTATCAGTAGAGGCATCTGCCCTGGTTCTTTGGTGTTTCTTTTTTTTTTTTTTATAATTTAAAGAATAATGAAGGGCAATGAAGTCTTTTCATTGATTCCGTTAAATATTGTGGTATCATATTATGACAAGGGAGTTTAAGTCCTTTCAAAAATCACAGGGGAGGTATAAGTATTTATCTTAAACTTCAGGGTAAGTTCAAGTCTTTTACCCTTTTTTATTGTTATGGGTGCGTGGCACTGTCATGGTTGTAGGTGAGTGTCTTTGTAATAGTAAAATATTTCAGTTTGGGGGTCTGTAAGATATATGTGGTGGGATTGGTCTTTTTATGTATCTTGGGGCAGGCTGTTTGATTTAGTTTGAAATAAGAATGGTAAATACTATATACCAACCACCAAGGCATGCATTTGTTTGGTTATAAAGTGGTTGCTAGTTGTCTTAAATAGCTGTTTGTATTTGGATTAGTATTTAGTTCCATGTTGATGCTAAGTTGGCATGACAACAGAAACCTTTCCCAATTTGTCAGGATGCTCTTGAGGGAGATGATGATGACTTGGATCTCTTTGGTGATGAGACTGAGGAGGAAAAGAAAGCATCAGAGGAGAGGGAGGCAGCTGCTAAGGCATCCACCAAGAAGAAAGAGAGTTAGTACTCTTACCTGGAATTTATTTTACATTGAGGGCTATTATGAGTTCATCCATTGACATGCAATTTCTATTATTGGGAGCTACTTAAAATTTTACATCATTATTTTTTCTGTCAAATATATAAGCAATTGTAGGGTGAGAGTAAGAAATGTCTAATAAGTTGAAAGTCTCAACTGATTTCTGGGTACTTTTTTTGATCAGTAGCTCAATTTTATTAAAGCTTAAAAAGAGGATAGTCTAACAAGTTGTTAGAAATAACACCCCGAAGACAAATGATGTTTGCTAGCTCCTTGTTTATCTAGTCTATCCGCCAATCCATCTTAACTGAATTTGCATTTGTCTTGATAGCAACTTGAACCGCCTGAATTCATTTTTGAAGTGCCATAATACTCCTTTTTTAACCGATCTTTTCCTCAGATTTTTGCTCCCCAACAATAGCTGCCATGAATTCAGCTCTCACTGAATTACCCTGCTCAATAGGTCCTGAAAACAAGCCGCAAATGTTCCCACTCCCATCTCTAATCACTTCAGTTTTGGAGGGAGCCGGATTGCAAAACTACTTCCATCAAAGTTTTAAGTTTCATCCATCCCCCACCCCACTTAGGGGAGACCAAAACTCCAGTACCTTTTGACTCCTAGAGAAAGAATGGACAATTGACACCCTAGGCCCCAACTTTGAAAAAAAGTCTTCCATTGAGAAATTTGTGAATAGTTTCAAAATCTTCACCTAGTGAGCAACTCTAACTGTAACAAGCTTCAAGATTGCTTCCTTGTTTCTTTCTTTTCCTCAAAGATTCTTAAGTTCCTTTCCTCCCATATTGTCCACATGGTTGCTGCCCTTGTACACACTTCCACAAGATTCTACCTCATTACCTTGTGCTTCTTATAAAGGATGGGCTGAAAAGTCTGTCCAAACAAATAGGAGGGATCCACCTACAACCAAAGAGAGAGAGAGAGAGAGAGAGAGAGAGCAAAACCATTCCCGAATACAAGGAAAAGGACAGGAGATTAACAGATGGAAAGAACTCTCATCATTCAACTTACACACAATGCACCAATTAGGAGACAATCACCAATTTGGTCTTTCCTTTTGCAGCAAATCACCCATGTTTATGCTCCCATGATATCCCAACAGAAGGTGTTGACTTTTGGGGGGATAAAGGTGCACCAAACTACTTTAATAGGGAAGAATGGAAAAGGGAAATGACTGAGGGAAGAGAAAAAAAGATTTACAAGTAAATGACCCAGAGGGACTGACTGAGTAGGGATGGGAACGGGGTGGGTTTGGGAGGGTTTTGTAAATTCTAGACCCTACCCGCCTCCGTAAACTGTAAACCTTCCAACCCATACCCTCCCCAAAACCTGTAGTAGAATGGATTTTGAGAATCCAAAACCCTCCCTGCACATGGAAATGCAAAATCCTCCCCGACCCTACCCTCCTTGCATTGAAGGGTAGGGCGGGTTGGGTTTAGAACCCACTCATAATTTCCTACTATTTCTTGTTGTATATAAGCTATAAATAAGTAAAATAATATGAACAAATTTCCAATTTTTTGATTAAGTAGAAGCACATAAACTATCAATTATCCTTGACATAAAATTCAAAACCCGTAGTAAGTTAGATTTTGAGAATCCAAAATCCTCCCTGCACATGGAAATACAAAACCCTCCCCGACCCTACCCATCTTGCGTTCAAGGGTAGAGCAGGTTGGGTTTAGAACCTGCTTCTAATTTCCTATTATTTCTTGTTGTATATAAGCAATAAATAAGTAAAATAGCGTGAACAAACAACAAAATTTCCAATTATTTGATTAAGACATGTAAAAAACACATAAACTATCAATTATCCTTTACATAAAAATCAAAATATTATTTAATTTAACACCTAACACATAAAGTTCATATGCTTTCTAACAATATGTGGGTTGGAGAGGGTCAGGTTTAGCCTAATATTGTACCCTACCCGTACCCGTATGGGTTATAAAATCCCAAAACCTGTCCTCGCCCCAAGATTCTGTCCTTCAAGCAAAAAAGAAAAACCCCACCCCATCGGGCCAGGTACTCACCGGGTAGGGTAGAAAGTGCCATCCCTAGGACTGTGAGCCCATGCCCATCTATCCTCCATTGATTCATCAAAAACCAGGTTATGCAAAATACTCGTAAGGTTGGGCACTGATGGGATTTCAGACTCTTTAAGGTTTCTCACAGACTTCAAATCTGGTTTTTCTCCCACAATCTTCATTCTCACGCCTCTGACGTTGGTTATATTGAAAGCTACTAAAACACCTCCACAAACTGCTGTAATTTTATCCAGAACTCGAAATTTCCAGAGATTCAAGGGAAGTCCGGAAATACCGATCTCTCTTCGTCCTCCATCCAACTCTTTTTCATTTCAGGAAGGATTCCACCTTTCAGCAATGGCTCCACCAAAGTCTCTTAACAGTTTTTCTTCTCATCAAACGGCATTAACCAGGGAGATTAACTGCTAAGAGTTCCATGAAAACACCTTTCTAAGAAATCCACTACTTTCTTCCTTGAAGAGATTACTCACTTTTCCAATCTTCCATTGTTCCCTCCATGATCTTCAGTAGTGTCAAACCACTGCACGCTGTTTCCTGTAATTCTTCTTTTTTCTTTTCATCATGCCCCACTCCCCGCTTGGAAGTTTGCTCAGTTGAAATCTCAAGCCCCGGCCTGTTCTGCTACCTTCTCCATAGTCCTCTAACACCTCTACACTCTTGACCCAGCCATGTTTTCCCGTTCACCCTGGAATGCTATGAGCTTTCTTCGATTGCTTCCAAAAGTTTCAGTCAACATGATGAAAGATCCCTATCATTGCATTTCACAGTTTTGGAGTATCTCCTCCCTTTCTTGCTAGTCTCACTCTCCCAACCTGGTGAAGTGATGGTTAACACCACTCCATCAATGAATCCCTTAAACCAGTCCAAAGAATCATTGAACAGAATCACCATTAATCTCTTATCCTCTCTGATTTTCACCGCCGACCTTCGATTCATTTCCTCAAACAATAATTTTTTCTTTTCAACTGCCACCTCCTTCCTCCACTTTGTCAACGGAGTAAAGCCTGTGGCTGCTTCTGCATGTCTCACATCCCCTGGGTTCCTTCCTTCCATTGCGTCCATCCTCCAATAGATTCTATTTCATCTTGGCTAATGCCATGGGAAATAGGTTGTTTCCACCATGGTTTCCAGCATGCATGAGGTAACTTTCAATAGGAACAAGCTTTTCTGGTTGTAACAGTCTGATATCCATCCCTGATTCCATTTGTCTGACTTTGAATTTGAATTTGATCCCATTAAGGGTGATCCGAATTTAATCTGTTTATGATTGGATTGAATATGGATCTAGTCCTATCTGACCTTATAATATCTAATCCTATTTGATTTATAAATATATATGCTCATAAATACATCAAATTTATATTGTATTTATTGATAAAGTTGGTTTAAATGTTGCATTTTTATTAAATTGTCTAGTTTTAATTTTCTTACAAGTTATTTTCAATTTATTTTGTTAATGAAATGCAGTATTGAAGTATAACTTATTTATACAATTCAATATCTGATAGCAACCTGAGTTCGATTCGTGTCCAATATAAATCTGATGTATAAGATCTGCTTCGAATTCAAATATAAACTGGATCTGCTTATATCTGATCCAATTTGATCTGTTTTTAAGCACTCGTTAGTTTGATGTATTCATGTACATTCCAGTTCCAGAATTGTTCTTACTATCACCATTCTTATGGGAAGAAATTTTCCCAATTAGTATTAGCCAATCTGTACTACTAATTTTTAATATAAAATGCAACTCATGAATGGGTAGGGAGGAGACAGATGCCTTCCTGTTTGAAACTAGGTTGCCATGTGGAAGATACTGGGTTGTTTAGTCCTTCATGGAAGTGTTTACGGAACCATCCGTAGTTTTTTTTTTTTTTTTTTTTGCAAACGATAATAGCTAGAAAATTTTCTCAGGTGGAAAATCCTCTGTTCTTATGGATGTTAAACCTTGGGATGATGAGACTGACATGAAGAAACTAGAAGAGGCTGTTCGCAGCATTGAAATGCCGGGCCTTCTGTGGGGAGCATGTACGGTTTGCATTCTATCCTTTTGCCTTTTTGCTAACATGAATAAACATTACAAGAGGAAACCTAACTTGTTGTTTTGCTGCAGCAAAACTGGTACCTGTTGGTTATGGGATTAAAAAGCTACAGATTATGTTAACTATTGTTGATGACCTTGTCTCAGTGGACAACCTAATTGAGGATCATCTCACAGCTGAGCCTGCCAATGAATATATACAAAGCTGTGACATTGTCGCCTTCAACAAAATCTGAGACCAAAGCATAGCTGTAATTTTATTTTCTAGGTTAGTATTTCCCCTTTATGAAGGTATGTTTGTCATGGTTGCCTAGGTTTACCATTCTTCTTTCCCCAATTTTCTTTTTTATCAGGCTTACATGAGATGGACTATTATGCCCAATGGACGGGAGATTCCCATTGTTGCCCACTAAAATCATCTCATAAAAGCCTTCAGGCATATGGAATTGAGAGAATGCTTTCGAGTGAGCTAAATATAATCTTGCGGTTGTGTATTCATTTTTCTTTGGATCCCATTGATTTAAGTTTTCCGTTCGCTGGTCCGATTTTAGGACCTCGGTAAGATTAGTGTCTGTAGACTACAGTTCATCGTTTGCATACAGCCCCTGGTTTGTGCTGCTATTTTAATACTTACAAAATTAAAATTATGTTGTCTTTTAGGGCTTTTATAATAGACGTCTAACAATAGGTAGGGATGGGATTGTTTGCTGTGCTACTCAGCCTCCATGTCCTACCAATACCCTACCTTTTTTATGAGTGGAGGTACCATTTTGTTGCACCGAGTCCAATCTCGAATAGCAAAAAAGCATCCGTCTCTTTTTGTTTTATATATTACTAGTGGGGTTTTGGGCTTTATTAAATGAATTTGAGGCAAAAGCATGGTTCAAAGTATCGATACGATACGCTTGATACGATATGGAGCGTATTGTATTGTATCTTTTGTAAAAGATACGGTGTGAAATGCCTGTTTACAGGTGTTTCAGACCCTCAATTTTTTTTTAACAATAAAAAATATCTTATAAGTTTCCCAAAATACTAAATTTTGAAAAAAAAAACTAAAAAAAAAGTATGTATCGAACTTGTATCGTATTGATGTTTTGAACCTTGGGCAAAAGGAGTTAGGGGTGCAACTTGGATGGGGCCAATTTGAGCCTAACTTGGTTTAACCAATGTTTTAGTACAGGTTGGGTTTGAGTTTTTGTATTTTTAAGGGGATTGGGTTCTCAACCTAACTTATCCATGTTGCACCTTTAGGAACATTGTGGCATTCCTAATTCTATTAGTTTGTATTTTTATTAAATTGTTTTATTTTTTGTTATTTTTATTTAATATTATTTTTAAATGGATTAGGGATTTTAAATTTATAATAATTAAGTTTAAAACTAATGATTTTGTTATTTTTTAATTTTATCAACAAACTTGTAGTATAATTTTATTTTCTCAATGGATTTTAAATGAATATCAAAATATAAGATTTATTTCTTGAAACTAAAATCTTCTTATTCTTTGGTTGTTTTATTAATAAACATTTATTAATTTGTATTAACTTTATTTTAACTCAAACTTGTATTAATAAAAAATTATAAAAATATTTTGTCAATCCATGTTATTTTTTATCTATATTTTTATGACATTATTAACTAATTTATTGTGGTATTATTTACTTAGTTAACTAAGTAAATAAGTTTTAGTAATTAAGTTATAATTTGTTAATTAATATATAATTCTTATTATTTAATTAATATTTTTAATTATATAACCATTTTATAGTTTAACTAAATTTGTTATTTTAATTAATTAATAAAAGCAAACTAATTAAATAACCATGTAAAGGTTAGGCATACATAAAGTTAACTAATAACTAATTAATTTAATTTATTTAAGATAATGAAGTTAATTAATTAAGGTAATGACTTTAAGTAAGTCAATGAAATAAATTAACTTAAAACTTATTTATTTTTGAAGTTAACTAATTGAAGATTTATGTAATTAGCATTGTTTAAAATTTTCCTTTTCCATAATTTTATTTGACATTACACGTGCATTTTCTTTGATTTTTTAAAATAGTATTATAATTTTCATGGTGTATGGAAGGTGGATTTTTCTTTTGAATTTTGCATTGGTTTGGATTTGGGGGTGTAATTTAGGATATTAGTGTAATTGGCAATCCATTAACAATAAATGAACTAAAATTTCCTCCCAATAAATTGTTTTACATCAAGAGGTTTTGTAAAGTATTTATGGAGAAAACATGAGTAAATTAGAGAGCTTTTAGGTAATTGGGAAGTGGGAATTGATAAGAGCAAGGAGAGGCGAGGCTTGTTGATTGGAGTCGACTAGAGAGGAGTAACGTAGAAAGAAAAGAGAATTAAGGAAAATGCATGAAGGTTTGATGAAAAAAGAGGCCATGTCTTGCGGACAACCTTGGTTTATATATATATTAGTGGTGACCTGTGTGATGTGTATTTTTATTTTTTTATGTGTAGATAAATAGAAAGTGATGAAGGGGAATTTGGCCCAACCTTGTGATAGGGAGACACGTGGACATGACTCAACACGGGTGACAACTCAGCATAAATCAACTCGCTATAAAGCGACCTCGGGTACGCTAGTACTCCGAACTAAAGCCACTTTGTGTTAAGATCGTCCCAATACCAGATCGTGACCAGGATAACGGAACCAAGTTCGTTACAAATCGAGCCCGGACAAATGAACCACCTCGGTCAGGACTACTTCAGGGGAAGTATACCTCAACACAAGATCGCACCGGGATCACTTCAGTCCAAGGGCACTTTGGCATTCATGTTAGGACAGACCTAAGGAGCACGAGCTCGAGAAGCTCGCTACCAATCAGCTCGCTATCAAATAGCTCGGTAGCTTACAGGCAGCTCGCCTACCGTTCAGACCTCCGCATGGCAACCTCGAGGAGCCCGCCTCCGTACTTTGTATCCCCCAGGATCGTACTTCGTAACGGTTACATTAGGTCACCAACTCCCCGGTTCTGACTGGAAGGGACAATCTTACCGTTTGATGGCACTTCACCCACCTAACACGCAAGCAAGTCCCATCACAGCAGGGATCCGATAACCGTTACACCAACCCGCATGGACCTCAGCATATAAAGACTTCGCCCCCCCAGGGGCAGAGGTATGTTTTATTATCTTTGCTCTCTAGTTCTCTCACTGTTATCATCTTCAAGCTCTCTACTACCACTATTCTAACTTAGCCATCGGAGTGTCTCGCCGGGTGAGCCACCCCCGGATCTATGACTCATCTCTTTCAGGAACCCAGTTCTCTTCGTTGCTGGCACCAGATCGTGTCCAACATGGAGTAGCCAAATTACGCCACATCAATTGGCGTCGTCTGTGGGAAATCGTTAGTAGAAGCCTTTCTTCTCCATTCCAAAAACCTCGAACTCAAAATCGAACCCATGGCTTCTTCCAGCAACACCGGACAACACAACGAAGCAAACGTCTTCGAGGGGCAACCTCAATTCCCAACTGTCTGTATAGGCCAATTCACCATACCACTCCCTGCAGGTGGGATCCCAACACCTGCTGTACCTCCACCATCTGAGCCTGTGAACGCTCTACTTCCCCCTGTAGTGGGTGCGACCAAAGCACCATCTGACAGTGCGAAGGTCAGCAGTGCGGAACCAGTTAAGCAGCAGCAAAGGAGACATGCTGGAGAACCCCGGGGGGTAAATCCAGGCCAGCCCGCACGACCTAGCCGACTTGAGCAGACTAGAGGTAAAATGGAGGTCAGCTCGGGAATCACAAAAACCTCTCCCCTTCTCTCTGTACCCTCTCCACTATCCCCCGAGCTTCTGGCTTCCCCGATGCCGACGAACTTCAAGATCTCCCCTGGATAAGTATGACGGGTCTTTCGACCCAAATGACCACGTAGATTCTTTCCAGTCCCAGATGCACCTCGCTGGGGCTGACGAAGCCTACATGTGCATTGCTTTCTCCACAACCTTCAAAGGGGTAGCTTGCACTTGGTATAGAAACATAGCGCATGGGGCTGTTAAAAGTTAGGCACAACTCGTACAATTGTTCACCTCGCACTTCATCACCAGTAAGAAGTGTCTGAGGTCACAAGAAAGCATTCTTAGAATAGTCCAGAGGGAAGGAGAGTCGATTCGAAGCTACATCAAACGCTTCAACGACACTTGCCTACTAATCCCGGACTTAGACCCGGTCGTAAGACTAGCGACAGCAAAAAAGGGGATCACTTACAGAGAATTCAAGTGGCATGTGGTGGCGAACAAACCCAAAGACATCACAGAATTCCTTAAGCTCGCCGATCAGTTCATTGGGATCGAGGAAGAGATGAACCAAAGGACCGAAGTCCCAGCAAAGAAGTGAAAGATGGAGGACCATAGCTTGCACAACAGTGGCGGCAAGAGGAAGAAAAGCAAGTCCCCAACCGGGGGAGGGAACATGTCAAATTTTCATCCCCGAGCTCCCCCGATTGAAAGAGCGAGCTTCATACCCCTCAACGCGAAGCGAGGGGAAATTCTCATGGCGATCAAGGACGCTTCCTTTGTGAAGTGGCTACCTTGGTTGAGAAGCGACTCAACCCTTAGAAATAAAAATGTATATTGTCACTTCCATAGAGACCATTGTCATAGCACTGAAAACTGTAAAAACCTCCGCGATGAGATTGAAGAGCTCATCCGTCGCAGGTGCCTGAGAATTTTTGTACACAGGAATAATAAAGGCCAGACAGATCAACGAGGGGAGCAAAAGAAAGACGCCCCCGAGCCCAGCAACAGGCCGAGTGAACAGAGGCAACTGCCCGAAGAAAGACCAATTCGCAGGGTAATCAATACGATCACCGGTGGGTCGGTTGTCGCATGTTGTTCTACAACAACAGGAAAGACTTTAGTCCGCGAACTAGAACGCGAAGAGCAGAACCCTCCAAAGTGGCCGCGGCCTGAGGACCCTATATTCTTTACCGAGGATGACGCGCACGAGATTCAGTACCCCCACGACGACGCGCTGGTCATAAGAATGAAGATCAACGACTTCGAAGTCAGGCACATCTTGGTAGATTCGGGGAGTTCGGCCGATATCCTGTTCAAAGGCACCTTTGAGAAGCTACAACTCCGGGAAAGTGACCTTCAGCCAGCAAGTACTCTTTTAGTGGGCTTCAATGGAGAAGAAGTCAGGCCCCTCGGGCGAATTTGTTTACCCATGGAGGTCGGCACGTGACCCAACATCGCGAGGTTTGAGCATGCCTTCCTAGTAGTCGTGACGTCTTCCACGTACAATGCCTTTGTGGGGCGGCCCGTCACTCATGCGCTTCGCGCGGTGGTATCTACCTACAACCTGGCCATGAAGTTCTCCCCGATTTCATCAGGGAGGTCCACTACTCGAGTTGGGTGGCTAACCCCGTTCTGGTAAAAAAGGCCATCGGTAAATGGCGCATGTGCGTCGATTACACCGACCTGAATCGAGCTTGCCCGAAGGATTGTTTCCCTCACCGTAAGATCA